TCTGCCCTTGGTGAAGCCATGCTGGCTGTCACCCATCACCTCCTCATTCTCCATGTGCCTCAGCATGGTTTCCAGGAGGCTCTGCTCCATGATCTTGCCAGGCACAGAGGTGAGACTGACTGGCCTGTAGTTCCCTGAATCCTCCTTTTTTCCCGTTTTAAAGACGGGAGTGATGTGTCCCCTTTTCCAGTCAGTGGGAACTTCACCAGACCACCACGACTTCTTGAATATGATGGACAGAGGTTTAGCAACCTCATCTGGCAGTTCTTTCAGGACCTAGGGATGTGTTTCATCAGGTCCCATGGACGTGTGCACCTTCAGGTTCCTCAGGTGTTCTTACACCAGATCCTCTTTAACCATCAGCAGTTCTCCATCTTCCTCAGTCCCTGCCCTTGCCTTCCATGACTCAGGAGGCATGGCTTGTGCCCTTGCCAGTGAAGACCAAGGCAAAAGATCATTGTGCACCTCGGCCTTATCCATATCTTGGGAAACCAGCTCTCCTGTTTCCTTCCAGAGAGGGCCCACATTTTCCTTGATCTTCATGAAGAACTGCAGCTTGTGGGAAGGAATCATGTCAGAGAAGTTTGTGGAGGACTGTCTCCCATAGGAGAGACTCCATGCTGGATCAGGGGAGGTGTGTGAGGAGTCTTCCCCTTCCTCCTGTACTGCTGGTGTGGAGGAAGTAGAGAAATTGGGAGCAAACCTGAGCTTGGGAAGAAGAGAGGGGTGGAGGGAAGGAGTTTTGAATATTTGGTTATATTTTCTCATTATCCTACTCTGATTTGATTGGTAACAAATTACATTGATTTTTCCCCAAAACGAGTCTGTTTTGCTCATGACCATAATACTGAGCGATCCCTCCCTGTCCTTGTCTTGATGCACGAGCCTTTCCTTCTATTTACTCCTCCCCATCCCACCAGGGGGGAGGAGTGAGCAAGCAGCTGCGTGGTGCGTAGCTGCCGGCTTGGCCTAAACCCTGACACTCCCACAGCAGCCGTTCTCAGAATCAGGCTGCAGTGCTGTCGTTGGTGTTTGTTCACCATACACGTACAGGGACACACAGTCTGTATCATAAATTTAAAGCAAAAAGAGTTCATGGCATAATTGCTGCTAAAATCATTATCTATGAAGCCCGTAAGAAGTTTGGGAAGCTGTACCGGAAATAAGTTTTCCTCCTGGCTGACACTGTTGCTGGCCAGTATGCTGAACACTTTCTTATCTACCTGGTCCCCTGGCTATTTCAAAACGCACAGTTATGCGTGCACCAGGCGTGCTCTGGGCACCACCCACACCTCCTTCACAAATATCAAGGCACATGAAATAACGAGCTTGCAGGGTCACGCTGCCAGGGAGCTCGTCAAACAAAAGCTGTCTTTGTTGCACAGCTTAATTTTTACATCCACACCGTTCATCGCAAGTTTGTCTTGAAAGATCACTGCAGAGGGGTCCCAATAGTTCATACTCTGGGCCATTCTGCTGGCTGGGTGTCACCTGAACCCCTGAGTACTGATGTCATCCAGCGTGACTGCTTGCTGCTGCCTGGCTCTGGCTTTGCAGAACAGCCCTGCGGAGAAGTGCTTGGACAACAAGTGAGCTGTAATTAAGAAGCAACCTAATGAAAGCTCAGTAGGGTTAGCATTTGCTGCTCTGGTTTACCAGTTGATCCCCAGTGTAACATCCATCTGGCTGAGAAGAGAGACCATTGGTTATTCACGAGGACCACAGCTTCACCACCTCCGACTTGGACCTATCAGCTTTTACAATCTTGCAGCAAAGATACAGTAGGGTGTTGTTCAGATCTATGTAATCTTGACCATTCCCAGCTATGAAAAAGTCTGGAAGGGCAGATTCCACAGTAGTGGCAAGTGGTGGCACCTCAGTAAAGAGGCTTTTCTCAATGCTGTTCTGTGTTTGGGACACTTCAGACAAATCCAGCTTGGATTTGGTGCATTCTTCTGAGCAGCCATCAATGAAAGCCATCCCTTTTAAAACAGATTTCCTTTTCTAGCCGTCAACCAGGACCTCTTTCTCTGGGTTTTCTGTTACTTTTCCACCAAGCAGCCTGGCTTGCTCTTTGTCTTGTTCTTCTCCTGGTCAGATTCTCGTCTAGAACCCCTTCCTTTCCCTTTTAAAGGCCTGGGGTGGACCTTCCCTCTAGGCACAGGACAGAGCTTTGTTTCTTTTAAGGCTTTTTCTTTTCTTATAAGGAAGTCCTGAGCCCTCATGATCTGAAGGAGTTTCTGACTTACCTATGACAACCTTGAAAACAGGTTGTGCTGGTTTTAGCCAGGACAGAGTTAATTTTCTTCACAGTAGCTGGTATGAGGCTCTGTTTTGGGTTTGCCCTGAGAAGAGCACTGATAAGGTGTATTTTTCATTGCTGCTAAGGAGTGCTTGCACCAATTCAAGGACAACCATGATTTTCTCGAGCAAAACATTGAAAACCCTTAAGACTGGAGATTTTTACACCTTCTTGGTAAATTCTTCCAGTGCCATACTACTTTCTCGGTGAAATTTTCTCCTAATGTGCAACATAATATACCCAAACTGCCCTTCAACTAAATGAAGGAGAGATTAAGCTGTCCTTGACAAACCAAGCAAACCCAGCCTTGTTGAACCTCATCCAACTGACCTCAGCCCATGAATCCAGCCTGTCCAGGTCCCTCTGCAGGGCTCTCCTACCCTCCAGCAGATCACACTTCACCCAACTTGGTACCATCTGCAAACGGACTGAGGGAGCACTCAATCCCCTCATCCAGATCATTGATAAAAATGTTAAAGAGAACTGGCCCCAATACTGAGCCCTGGGGAACACCACTTCTGACCAGCCATCAACTGGATATAACTCCATTCACCACTACTCCTTGGGCCCAGCCATCCAGCCAGATGTTAACCCAGCAGAGCATATACCCATCCAAGCCATGAGCCGCCAGCTTCTCCAGGAGAATGCTGTGGGAATTATTAAGTATATTCACCCACTTCCATACTCCATTATCATGGAGATTTTCAGATGTTAAGCCCCAGTTTTGATTAATCCTGTGGATTATCAAGACAGATCAGGAAAATTTGTCTGGGTTTACCTGAAAATCCCCTTTAAGCACCAGCCCTTTCCAGAGATTGATGAACCACCCAAATCCAGAGATGGCAAGTAGCATCCAAAAACTTAATTTGCAGAATGTACATCAAAGCATGTAGTTCCCATCCCTGCCTCCTTGCAGAACAGTCATTCTCATGGAAGAATACTGCAGAAGTAGAAGATGAGCACCTCTGTCTGACAGTAGATGAATGGGATGGCTCAACTGCTGAGCTTGGAGTCCCCTTTTCTGTTTAAATTTCTTCCCAGCCAGATTAATACTGTGCTCTCAGTAGAGCAGTTAAACCATTGTGATAGTTTGAAAAATCCTGTTATAGGGGGTGATAAACTTTCCGGGTAATCAAGCTAGTATCTTCCAAAACTTAGGTTAATGTGCCTTGAAACAAAACCAGGGACTGCTATGTCTGTTAAGACAGGAAGACGGAGTGGTTTGATTTTTTTTTTACACTGTCTCA